CAAACCGTAAGCTATCGCATACCCAATGAGACAATGAGAAGAAATCGTTGCATAATTTTAAAGATTCATTAAATTTAACTGTTTTGCTTCATGGTCTTAAGGGAAAAAGCTAGCTAATAGATTGTTCACATGTCCCCGTTTTTTTCGTAAGATCGTCAGGATCGAGCGCTTACCAGTACAAGCGGCCATCTTGGTTTCATATGTACCGAGGGCGAGGGCGTTCGCACCCCCTACGAAGATTTGTCACTCATTGCATACAAGATGGCCAACCGTAACGCAAAGCGATCAATCTTACGGAAAAATAGGGGACTGTGAACAGTTTAGGGTAAAGCTTCCCCACACGTTAGTTTCTTTTTTCACAAGTTTCTTGCATCAGATTCGTCATCCCTAACTTGATTCACACGGACATCAAGTTAGGGTATCTGCACCGGCAAATTTTTCACATTTTTGCATTATTTTTAAAAGTTATTTTATGGATAATACCTATATCAATACATTGACAGTATTCCTCAGTTCTTGAGGAACTAAAATATATCAAATTAAACTATGCTATGACACCCAAAAGGTGTTAATTTAATTACCCCCTAGGGTGACACGGACAGAGAAAAATCAAAGTTTCAGAAGAATCCTTGTTAGAAAAAGAAATGTAACACAAATAAAGACGTAGGATAGAATAATCCTTTGTTCGACCACGTCACGGCTCTAATTAATCCACCTTCTAAGGCACAATTTGCTATTTTGTAATTTGATCCACATTTTGACATCAATAACTCAGCTGTACGGCAATTCTAACCTTTGGTCGAACACGGATCTCTTCATTAACATCACTTTGTGTATTTGCCAAATTTCACGAACAAATTTTAGCGCTTTTCCAGTGTAAAAAAGCTTATTTTCTTCTCCTCGATCCTTCTCGCCCTTCATTTTTAATCACCGCTGTGTAAAATACTCGTGGAAGCCTAAAAATATCTTTCCTCTCTATAGCCTCAGGAATTTTGATACGTAACTAGTTGCTAGGTGTGACGCCTCCCGGAAGATGCGTTACACAGTGGGGTTTTTTTCAGAAAAGTGTGGCGTATCAAGACTTTACCCCTCCCCCCCCAAAAAAAAAAATTACATATGAAACTTATACCCCCTCCTCCAAGCCCTTCTAGAACAAGTCTCTTCTTCCATCCTTAGGCATTAATTTCATAAGCTACAGTCGCGCGAACCTGCATGTGCGACCACCTCTCATAAACGACCGCCAACCCAAAACACCAAAATTTTCCCAGTCCAAGCCTTACAGTTAGAACCTCTAGTGAACGACCACCTCCTGTAAACGACCGCGCGAACACTTTTTAGGCCTGACAATTAATGATTTTCCAATGTTTTTAACATCTTGTAAGCAAGCACTCGACTCAGTCTTTGATCTCTATTTTCGCTGTGTGCACTTTGTTAATCAGGAATATACGAAGAACTTTAGTGACAATATGGAACTACACACATCCCAATAAATGATCTTCCATAAAGTAGATGTGCCTGGACCTCTTCTCGGAAGAGACCCCCTGCTGTTCGATTCTTGTAAACGATGCACCTCCCGTAATTAAGAGACCACTCAGTCTTTGCATTTTGGTGATCGCCCGAGTTCCTGGATACCGATAGTCAGCAGCGTAGCGTGAGATTTTGAAGGTGCACGCAGGGGAAGAAAATTTACTGCGACGAAGGCGCCCTAAACCTGGGGGAGTCTGGGGGCATGCTCCCCCACAAAATTTTTTAATTTAGGGTCTGGGGAATGCCATCTACTGTGTTTTTTCTGCTGGACATTCTGAGTAAACAAAGACGAAGGAAAATGCAGTAATTAGTTGTCTATTTTACCCATCTCTAGTGCTATCGGTAAGGTACAGTGTTGGAGGGTGCGAATAAGGTTAACAGTTAACTGATATTTGGCCAAAAAACAGCAGTTAACTGATAATTGGAGAAAAAATTAGTAGTTAACTGATAAATGAAAAGTTAACAGTTAAGTGATACAGTAAAATTCCGAAACTAAGCCCCTCCATGTATAAGCCCCTCAATCCGGTAACGCAAAAAACCCTCCGTTAAATCGCCCCTCCAAATATAAGCCCCCCGGGGGCTTGTACTTGGAAAATTGCCCTCAAATACAAAGTAAAACAAAGCAAAAACGGTAAATTTACTTCCAACTATAAGGCTAGCCCAATCGATTTTGAAACGCAAATTTCCCTCCGTAGATAAGCCCCTCCGAATATAAGCCCCTCCAAAAATATAAAGCCCCTCAAAAAGGGCCTTTTCAAAATATAAGCCCCGGGGCTTATTTTCGGAATTTTACGGTATTACATTAATGTTAATGAAAGTAACAAACTTTCGCAAACAGAAATTCTATTTTCTGACATTTTTCTGTCTCGCTGTTGACCCGGTGGCAAACTAACCGATATTACTATCATGTGCAAAAGGCACCAGGGCAGTACCCGACAAACAAAAAGCGTCAGCCAACGAATAGACAACTCAACGAATAATTCGTCCTCTACAAGATTTCTGTGTTCGGAAAAGGATAATACTGTGTTTCACGGACCCAAAATATCGTCAAGTTAAACATTACTAACGAAATAAAAAAGCTGTGATTCTTAGCATTGGATCTGGCCAAAAAGAATTTCTGAGGGTTCAAAGTAATCAGGAATCTTCCTTTTTTAAAAGAACATGGAATTTGTACTTACGAGATATCATTTTTGCCACTCATGTTGGAGTTCTAACTATTGACACTTTTTTTAATAGAAAGAAATGCTCGTGTTTAAACCGGTCTTTCTGAAACAGTTTCGGCAGTTTCATTTCTTAAAACCCTTGAATACCTTTAAAAGGCTTTTGAAATACCCCAAAAGGGTACGTCTTCGAAAAAGGTAACATTGAGGGAAGTGAAAGAGGACGTCGACAAAATTTGTATCGCCGGCTACAAACAAATTCTGACAACACAGGTGGAAAACCTACCCGCGGTTTCTCACTTCAGCATAAAACATTTAGTACTTTGAACTATGCTCAAGACTTTGGAACCACAGTAAAGGAATCGCTTAAAAGATCTACGAGTTCGAGGTGGGCTACACTCACGAAATAAAAGTCGAATTGTCCTGTGTCAAATACTTTCATGCCTTTGTCAGCACTCTCAACTGTGTCTCTCCCATCGGTGCAAACAGTGATTGAATTCACCAATTGAATTCCAAAAATAATGGTCCAGTTAGTTCGTTAAGACTATATTAATTTGGCATTGATAATGTTTCTCGTGGTCTGTTGCAATGGATTGCAAGGATTGAAATTGGATTGGCAGGACATGCATGACCATGTCGGGAAGATCAGTAAGAGATCATGACTGGTGTGTCTGGATCTATGAGACTGGTGTCATATTTATCAATTATTCCTCGAGCCCGAATGGGCTCTGAGTCAACAGCTCATGAGGCCGAAGGCCAAATGGGCTATTGACTCAGAGGCCATGAGGGCTAGAGGAATAATTGTTTTAGTGAAATCCAACTAGTTGGTCAAAAATATCGAGACAAAACAACTTTAGCTAGTTAAAGCTAGACTTTAAGCCTTTTTTGCCGCCAAAAAGCCGGCGCTTTGCGCTACTAGTGGGCTATAACATATAGCCTAGTAGTAGCTCAACCAATCAGAACACAGCATTGATAATAGACCACTAGTTGGATTTTACTTTTGATGGTTGTACGACTTATATTTTCAGTTACTAATAAATTGTACTAGTGGCAGAGTTCATGTAAATTTATACCTTGATTTTAGTAGAGCCTACCACCAAAAGTGATTGACTTGCTGAAAGAAGGAAAATTCGGGATATGACGGAATAATATTCGCTGTAGGAAGGTGAAAGTTAATAGCTAATCAAAATTAGTAGTTAACTGAGAATTGACCAAAAAAATAGTAGTTAACTGAGAATTGGGTACCCCCATTAGCACCCACGTGTTACGGTACGGCAAAAAAAGGGTAAACCAGTGACGCCATAAAGGAGGTTACAAGAAAAGGACGAGATGTGTACTGTTCAGACAGGCAAACTCTGTTATAATGCCATCAATATCAATTACGTCCTTGTGCTCATATGCAGAAATGCAAGAGAACTCAATCTCTCATCCGTCACGGTCCTTCGTAAAGGAGTTTGCAGTCTCTTCATACAGCTGAAGCTACGCTCAGCTGTGTACGTTGACACAGGATAAGTCAACAAAGTTATGAGACCCTGTAACATATATTCCGGGATAGAATTGGAGTTGGCTTGGTCAAAAGTCTCAACCAAGGTCTGAGGCTTCACATTCGGATCCATTTCACTACACTTAATCAGTAAAAGGATAAAGGAAATCCTAACACAAAAACACCAATATAATGAGAAATATTTATCCCGATTTAAGGATAAAAATGCCTCCAGGAAATTTAAAAAAATCTATATATTTGTTCCAGATTTCCGCTGTATGCATAGGCGTATGTGCGTACATGCACGGCTGCATGCACGTTACATTCCTGGTAGGAGAAATAGCTCATAGGTTCCTGGGCTGAGCTTTATACTGGTAACATGATTTTGTTGCTGACGAAGAACCGCCAAAGTGTATTTTTTTTGTCTTCTTTTGAAGGAAACGTGGATTTACTTCAATTATAATATACTTTGACAACTCTTACATAGAAGGCCAGTCTTAATATTTCGACCCCCCTCACATTCGGTGCCTTTTCAAAATTGACCCCCCAAAATCAAGCCTCTTAGAAAGTTGTACCCTTCCTCCGAAACCCCACCCAAGACGTAAAAAACGATTGCTCCCTAATGCAATGAGGCGCGCCAAAGTGTGAAGATTAACGAAGAGTTTTATTCAAAATTGAAAAGAATTGCTTATAAAATGTAAAGAAAAAAAAAATAAGCAGAAAAACAAGCCAGAGGATTAGGTCCAAGAAGACGTTTTACTTTGATTTTCACACTTTCACAGGCGATTTGCGTTCCCAGGGGGTTACTCCGGATTTCAAGTGATAGAGAAGATGATCAAGGGATTTTTGGGGGTTGGAAAATTTTGGTAATTATTTTTTGGGGGTAGCTTGATTTGAGTAGGGATTTTTGGGGGTATTCAAAACAATCAGAAGATTCGTGATAGTTCCCACGTATCCCGCTCTAGTTCCGCGAATAAATGGCTCGGAAATTCGGCACGGGATGTTTTTGGGGTTTTTGGTTCAGGGATTTTTTGGGAGGTTTTGTTTGAAGCCCTAGGAATTTTTTTAGGTTTGATTTTCGTCCCCATCCCTGTCACTAGAAATCCGGAGTACCCCCCGCTAACAAGAACTCCGCCAGTTTCGTTGCCGTGACGACGGTAACACTGGTCAGAGGCTTGGAACGCGTGACTAACCCTAAGAACGTCTGCGTGGGAGGCTACGGCGCCCGTGATCGTCTGTTGACAAATTTTCCTCAATCATGGCGAAAGCGGTAAGAGAGTTTTCTCTAGTACATTAGTTAGAAATTAGATGGTAAAGAAACTAGAATAGCTTTCGTTAGACATAGTCTTATAACTGAGCCATTTCGTTTCACGTTTCTAGGGCCCACGATTTAGTTTGTGTAAAAAATGCTCATTCAAATAGTCATGCATTACGTATAGATTTTCAGTGTAAGGGTTCGTGTAAGGCCTTACATCCTTACAGCAGTTTCAGGTTGTAATGCAAAGTATAATGTGACGCTTTAATACTGTTTTCTAATAAACGCAACGATGACAATGGACAAAATGGCGTTTAACTCCTCTGCAGCAAACTGTTGCAGGAGCTCAAGACTGACTGTTGTCATGGCAACAGCATTTTTGTTTATTATTGTCTTCATCCCATTGATCCCACTACGTGATTTATTAGCCAAAAGAGTGAACGGGCACTTTGCGCAAAATGCAAAGCCTACTTTTCAAGCGCGAGAAACATGTTTTTACCCTCCCGTGGTTTAATTTTTTTTCTGGTTTTGCTTTGCTACAAAAATGCAAATCACTTACTTAGCTCATAAGGTACCTGTCATCTGGGCTACCTTAGCCTGCATGACAGGCCAAGCGGGGCGAATGCAATAATTTTCTCTTCCCCTCGTCTTGTGCTTCGCGCTCATGAAGCGTTCCGCGCGAAATATCGCGCTCACCCCACTTGGCTCATAAAGCGCCTGTCATGCAGGCTAGGGCTACCTACAACACTTTTTCCCTTGTTACTATTTACACCCTTATATAAAAGCCTAGCTTTCACCATTAATACACTCTACACCCTTACAGACCTTACAGCCTTATGCCCTAACAGCCTTACATAATCAAAAAACTGCAGTGTTTATACACCTGTATGTGGTTCTTTAAGGCTCGCTAAGGTGGCTTGGCTTAATGTAGAAAGAGGAATATCCACGCAACATGTTTTTCCTGTTTACGTGTACGATCGAAGATACTTAATTACGGAAACATTGAAACAACTGCTCTGTAAATTTTTGTCATCAACAGGATTCCAAGTCATTGTTTAAAGGAAGTATTGGTCACGTGACCTCTTAGTGCAAGTGGCCTATTGCGTACATGTCATTTGTTGGGTTTTAGCTACCACATCTGGCCCTCCCCATCCCACTACCACTCATCAGCCCAGAGTTGATCTTGAATTGTGGTCAGAAGCTCTTATACTCTCCAAGTCAAAGTGTATATCATTTTATTTTGGATTTACCTGTAGGCTAGAATAAATATTTAGCTGATGTAAATACAATTCAATACAATAACTTTTATTTCAACACAATGGCGACTAAAGCATTGCCGCTTATCATGGGGTTGCGCATTTAAGCTAACTGAAACTTAAGCATTAAAAGTTTATTAAAATCGTGGTCGTTATAATATAAAAAACTATCATTGTAATAATTGTGAGGCATTGTTTGTGGAGATTCAGCCTGAAAATCTAAATTGCGTAGGTTGTCAGATTTGCACTCCATTCTAGTGTAAAGTTGGTTTTTTTTGCAGAAGGAAGAAGGTTCAATTGTCATGTTTGACCAAGACCTTTTAAAAGACATTGACCTCAGTAAAGGAGAAGGTAGACTACATGAATGTGGTTTGTCTATTGATAATCCTGGTGACAATTTGTTGTTAAGACCACTATGCAGTGATGATTATGAAAAAGGTAAATGTTGTTTTTTTCATGACTCTGATCTACAGGTCCTGTTCACACAATGCAAAATTTTGTTTGTTTTGCAGAAAAAACTGTCAACAGGAAGCCATTTCTAGTGTGAATGATTTTTTCCACCCGCCAAAATTTTCTGAATTGCTACCTAAATAATTTCAGAGATGCCGTTGAGAACATGACCAGATGCGAACAAGGTTGCAAGAACAAAATTACAAAATTTTCAATTTTTTTGCAACCTTCAGTGCGAACAGGGTCTAAATCAGAATTTATGCACTTATCAATGTTGTGACCTGTCTTATCTTCCCGACCCTCTTAGCCCAAATTTCATCCGATACAGTCATTTTCTCCTCTCAGCAACATCATTACTTCTGTGCTAGCAAAGGTCTCTCACGACAAGGCAAAAATAAGAGGAAGGAGAGAGACTCTCCTTCCTCTCATTTTTGCCTTGTAGTGAGAGACCTCTGCTAGCAGGGAACATCGTTGCTGTGGGAGTTATAAGGACTCAAAGTAATCGGATGAAATTCAGGCTACCACTCACTCCCCATCTGACTTGGAACATGTATTTAGTATTGTAATGATAACTGATAACAATATTGCCTGATTCTCAAATGCTCAGACGACCTGATACAGGGTAAAAGACCGTGGTCCTTGTTGAGGTTGGGACCAGACTTAAAATTAAACCATTAGTAATGGCCACCTCTCCACAGATGCTTCTCTTTAAATGGGACAAGAAATTTCTGTCCCTTCAGATGTATATTGGATAAAAGATAGTGCCCTATTACATGTATGTCATGCAAGGACAAATATTATATTGACTACGTTGTTTTTTCTATTTTAGAAAGCCAATTATTATTTTTAATTTAACTTAATTTCTTTACAATGGTTACAGCAGCATACCTCAGTCCCTAAATGGCCACTTTTTTGTTCCCTTGTGATGCATTAGGCTCCAATCCTCAAGAGGGACCACAGTCTTGAATTTCAAGCTTTGCCTGGGAACATTATTCTTATAGCGCTAATTATTTTATCTGAGATCATTTGACAAAAATTGATTTGTTGAGGAAAGTGCTGTATTTGTTCCAAAAGGTTGTACATGATGTTAAGCATTTTTTTGGACAGAGAGGAAAATTGTTGTGGATGACTCAGATTTTATATTTTTTCCCCAGGTTTTCCAGCAATTCAAAACGACCTTGCTAAAGTTGGAGATGTCACAAAGGACCTCTTTCTGAGTAAGAAATGAAATTCTTAGATAGACCCTTGTAGTGCAGCTCATTTTTTTCCCCCAGGATTAAGTTAATTTTGAAGAGTTTTGTTATTTAGGTAAATAATTTGTTTAGCTTTTAGTGTCAACCAATTACAGTCATTACTGGTAGAGTGGATAATTATTGTCATCTTGATTACTGAAAACCCAAATTTCCCCCTTTTCGTAAGGGCGCTGAGGAGCCCTTTTAATAGGCGCCAGATTCATCATGACATCATTGTTTACATGTTTGCTCATTACAATACCAGTTAACCCATAGAAGATGTAGCTGTTTATACCAGTTAGGCGCAAAAATTAAAAGAGCTGGTTTATTTATGCAGTTTGTGAAAGTTTCAGCTTTTTGCAATCAGTTACAAAGAAAATAACAGCAATTAAAAACTGCAAAATTACTAGGGTGGCAAAACGTTAATGAGCTCATACATTCTTTGTAAATTCTGGGGTTTTTCAAAGAGACTTTCTCTGAAACTATTTGGTATATCGAGCTCAAAATTTCAAAGATAACTGAAATTTAGTGTTATGCTCTTTTAATATTCAGAAATTTCATTTTATTAGCATCATAATAATGAAAACCCTATATGCTAATGAGGCAAAAATGTAAACAAGGATTCGGTTATACCAGGAGTATCACTCTTGGGTGATCATTTCATTAATTTCTATTGTCATTTAAAACTTTAAGGAAAGGAATAATTCAAAGTGGCTAGCAAATTAAATCCAGGTTTTCAATACCCTAGTTACACACAAAACTTGACATCAGTAAATACTGGTACTGTACTCAGTTATTTACTGCAGAGGTCTTATATATTTCCCCATTGGATTTCTTTAGAGCGTTTCCATGCTATGAGGTCTTGTCCTGGTACGTATTATATCATTGTGGTGGAGGATACAGAGTTAGCAAAGATTGTGGGCTGTGGAACACTTTTCGTAGAGCAGAAGTTCATGCATGAAATTGCTATAGTATGTATCTTATTGTTTTTGTATCCTACAGTTGCATGAACCTCCATTAAGCACCACCCTCGGGGTACTGGTAGGTATATACATGTAGGCACTCAATAGGGATTGGTCAGAAATTACCATAATCGTTAGCAGAAACATCTATTCACTTTATTTGAAATAAACATGACAAGAGCAATATAACTTGTATCTACTATTAGTTGTCACCTCTATCTCACACTGTATTTTCCTTCATCATAGTTTTTACAATGAAGCCAAACTATATAGCTAAGTGTATCAATACTTTGTGGCCGCTTAATTAATAGGGGTGAGAACGATAGGAGAACTCTCATCAGGATGGACAAAAGGTGCTGGCAACTACTTAATAGAGGTTGGCTGCTTAATATTATTCATGTTGGTGGTTGCTTAATATGGAGGTTCAACTGCCTTATCATTCAATAATTATAATAGAGAAAATGAAGTTAGGCTGTCTGGCCAAGTGGTTGTGAGGTAGTGGACTGGACTTTCTATCAGGTGGATGAAATTCCAATACTGCTCTAACCCCTCACTGGATTTGGTCTTGGATGTCTAAATTCAACTATTCTGCCATATATATAAATAACTGCTATGAATAAAAATTCTGTTTTTATCTCTTAATGCTCAACAATCTTCAAGTTGTAAAAAGTGGTGGTGACAATAAGGATCCCAACATGTAGTGATATCATGAGATCTTTACAGTATGCCTTAGGAGTATTTTATAATGATAGCCCACAGTCCATCCCTGAATATTGATAGGGTGCATACAACAACATTCCAGCAAGCTGGACCAGATTGATCAAGTCACAAGTCACATAACATTTCAATCCACTGTAAACAAGGCTTCAGAAGAGCCAAAAGCTCATACATAGTAATTTTCTTTCTGCCAGTGTAGTGACAAAATATTATTAACGAAATCTTTGAAATTTAGGTGTTTTTTTGTTGTTGTGGTGTTCTGATTAAGAAAGTGTGGTATGCTGAAGCCTTTACTGTGTGTTATTCTCGCATTATCTATTGTTATTATTTACAGCGAGGGAGAGTTGAAGACATTGTCGTTGATGAGAGCTATAGAGGGAGAGGACTTGGAAAACTGTGAGTACAGTGAAACCTCTGTTAATAGACACTAGCTGCAGCTGCACTTGGGGACTTAACCGAGTTATTTCCAATTCATAAATTAAAGTTAACTCATTTAAAAAAACTGCGAGTGCGGCTTGGTTTTCTATAGTCTTATCCGAGTTCTAAACAGGTTATGCAAATCAAGCAAGAACGATAGATTTTGTTAACTAGGCTAGGTTTTTTAAACCACCTCAAGAGGTAGTTTAACGCAGGTTAACATTGTCAATCAGTCAATCATCTCCCTCTTCACATGAGAATAGTCCAAATTTTCACATTCATGCATGCAAGCAAGAAAATTTTCGAAATAACTTAACCTAACCCGGTTAACTTGCCAAATGTAGCCGCAGCCACTTTCCTTAAGTTGTCATTTCTAACCTTGAAAAGCTGCTGCCAACATTTTCTATGACTCTGAGGGCGTCAGTTTTCAAGAGGTTCTTCTTGTTATACTACTAACTGCAACCTGGTTAGCTCAATTTGTTAAGCACTGGTCTGTTGAGGGGGAGTTCATAGATTCAAATACTGGTTGGACCAACACTCATGATGTTGTTGATGATGATGATCATGGTGTTGATGATGATGAGGAATGCACCCACATCATAAAGTACATTCTCTAATTTAATGAAAAATGCCAAACCAAAAATTTTCTGTGTTGTCTTTCAGAGTTGTTGAAACCTTGCTGTTACTCAGTGAGAAGTTAGGATGTTACAAAACCAGCCTTAGGTGTAAAGATTCTCTGCTTCCTTTTTACACTCAGTTTGGATTCAAAAAGGAGGATCAGCAAAACTATCTTTGTAAATGGTTTTCTGATTGAGGCATCAACAAACTTACGCTCATGACATGCTAACATAACAGCAAATGCTCTTCTTAGGAATTCTGGTTAGCCTGTGACAGGAAAGAGAAATGTTATTTTCTCAGCTTGCTTTACTGAGCAGTCTTCTCACAACCCAACTGTTTTTCACCTCTTAGATGGTTCTCCGAATATCCCAATTTTTTCTCAAGAACTAAAGATTCACCCATCCTTACTCGTGGTAGCCCTTCACTACAGCCTCTATTAATAGAACATTCATTTCACCCATTATTTGACAACCCACAAGACATCAGCAAGACTGACTTGAGTTGGCCATGGCAACGGATGCGTAACGTAACTGCTTACACCCGGGTATAAGAATTCATAAATTGTTCACTTAAGTTATTTGAGCTGAAAAAAATCTATAAAATTGATACAATTACCGGTAAGAGGACTTGCATTGTGCATATTGATTTTCATAGATTGGTTAATTGATATTAATCAATTAGTTTTTATTGATTTTATTGATTGGTATCCGATGATCGATTTTCATCTATTGGGCAATGTTTTCTACTGGCTGGGATTTTTGCTTCTGGGATCCTAAAACCCTTAGCTTTATACCTGCCATGTGTAGATGCATTTTTAATTAACTTTTAATGGAAAACAACCCTGCTTCATAACCATCAGCAATCCAGTTGCCATTAATTACACCCTATTCTAGTTTAACCTCTCTGACTTGTTTACACTATTTCTGACTAAACCGCTTAAAACCTCCAACATTCACAGGATCACCTACCCATGTACGCTTACATAACGGTACCTCTTCCCCCCCCCCCCCCCCCCCCCCCCCCCCCCCCCCCCCCCCCCCTCTTCCTTTTTGTTGGTCCTCAAACACACAAATCAATATTTTAAAAAAAAACAACACAACACCAAAAAAAAAAAACAACCAAAAAAAAAAAAAAAAACAAACAAAAAGAAAAAAAGAAAAATTACAGAAAAAAATATATTATATTAACACCCCTCCTTACTAACCCCCAGAATCCAGTTTGCCTTTATTACACCCTTTTCTTATTTTACCCCCTCTGCTTTTTTTCCCTTTTTCTTGCCAAACCCCCTAAAACCCCCCACCTTCCCCGGGTCCCCCCCCCCTGTTCCCTTTCATAACGGGACCCCTTCCCCCCCCCCCCCCCCACTCACCCCCCTACTCCTCCCCGCTATTTTGATCGGTTGTGATCAAAACACAGCAAGTTTATTTATAAGAAACTAAACTCCGCCAGTTACAAAGAGAATCTAAACCAACAAAACAGAGAATATTCAACGAGTTGGTAAAAATAGGTTTTGATGAATACATTTCTAAGGATCTTACCTGGTTTGCTTTCGAGATCTTAACAGAGCGGTAGTATTCTGAGCAACATTTCGCGGCAAAAGACAGCTTCCTTTGCCAAGCATCCTTAAGATCGAGTCAATTATCGGCTTATAACCGACAAAAGAATTAACATCTTTACGAGGAATTCTTCTCTACAAAAATATAAATAAAATATTTAGTTGGACGTTCATGTCGTACTGCACGCCCGACGACGACGTCAACTTTCAGTCAGGCGTTATCAGGTTATTTGTCCGGTCGCTCAGTTGCACAGGACACCCAGATGAACCACAAAACAGGGGAGGGACGAAACTGTTGGTTTTCACATGACGTTACTAAAATTCAAACTACAAAACTATCGATCCTACCGAGATTTTACTTTCACGTTGTATTAGAGAAGCTCAAAACTAATTTTCATACAAATTTTCGCTTCAAAAAGGGTTCTTGGTTTTGTGATATAGAGTACGCTTGAATTTCTAAGCTTTTGCGTGACCCGGCATTTGTAGGTTAAAAAAGTGACTTATTCTCGGGGAATTTTGCTATCTAAACAGTTTATGTGTTAGAAAAAGTATTACTTTAATGTTTATGCGTTCCTAGACAAATAAATTCACGCTTTTAAAGCAAAACTCGGTAACCGATGTTTCTGTTGGTTTCCTGTCCGCCATGTTAGTGCCCATTCGGATGAGCACCAGCATGGCGTCTCCATACAAATCTCTATAAATTTGGCTAGAACATTTCTTCAGATATCTCGTATACGAAATATTCCTCTGACCTGAATCTTGGCGAGGGTCTTTGCATATTTACCTCCTTTCATTTCCCATATTGCAGACTTTATCTATCGAACGGTTTTGATTTTTATTTTGATCAATTTTGAATGGCGTGACACTGAAAACGAGCAATACGAGCTCCCTTAAAAACGCGTGCGTGGGAGGCTAGGGATACGTGTGAACGGGTCCTAAAACTAGACTCGCCGAAAGGGGCGACGTTACTGGGCTGCCATAAAACTTAGACTATACAGAAATATTGTACTCCATGAAAACAATAACTTCACCAGAACAGACAGCAAACAGCTTATAAGAGAAAACAAACCACTAAACTCGTCACCCATCACTGAGACTATGGAAACGGCCGGTTTAAATGGAGGTGGGGGAGCCCAGATAGGTGAGGTAACATCTGGCGGGTCACCCCACCTATCATGTAAACGCGATCAAATTAAAATCAGAGAACAGGCGGGTTACCTCATCTACCTGGGGTCCCCCACCTCCACGTAAACAGGCCCTAAATAGGGATGATCAACAGACGATGATCTATAATTTATGGTCGACACGAACACGCATTGTGCAGTAAGATAAAGATATCTATACGTTTCAAGATTTAATTTGTTACTTCGAACCGGAGATAATTTGCACTTTACAGCCGGGGGAGGAGGAGAAAATAAACGCCTCTCTGGGAGACTAAACTGGAACATGTGGAAACTAACAAAATATTTCTGTCGACCTCTTTCGCAAGCTCTCATCCGTCAGAAATAATATTTTCTCAGATTCGTCTCCTGTGTAAAATGTAATTTTCCTGCAAGCCCATGGATTGTGACGGAGTTTTTCCCTCTTAACCAACGACGTGTGACTCGCTTGAGTCCAACGGCGCAAAATTTCGCGAGCTCTTCGGTGAGAACGTATGTGAAAAGCTCTAATAGATAACATATATCCTTTAACCAAAATGTTTTTTTATTACATCATAGTATTGGGTGAATAATTTAATAAAATTGTCCCAAAACCTTGCGACATCATTTACATGTAATAATTAAACATTCACCATTGAAATATAAAATGTCCTGGTACAAATTGACTGTTAAAAACATCCTCTTATTTTTACATTTTCTACATGTTTTTAAGGAGCCGTCAACTCTTTTACACCTTATTGGGCAAGTAAATCACAGTTGGTCTTACCCTGGCTGCTAGAGGTTCTTTTTCTTCTTCCCTAATTCCTGATAGTTCGCGGCGAAGCGCCGAGACAAGAGAGCTCTCATATCAAACCGTGCGCGCACAAAAGGTTATTTCATCCCAGATATTTAGAGAACAGACCTCTTAAGCCAGGGTAAGTTGGTCTCGCCAAGCAATTTTAATACCTTCAATTGTGCTCAAAATCAAATCATTATTTGTTATCAGCGTTCCGTCGTAAATAAATAACTTAGGCCACAAGCTCTTGTCGGCCACACCCTTGTAAATCTTAGCGTTCTGCACACTTTTCCGTGCAAAGCAATGATAGCTGTATACTAGGGAACGGTTGAAAATTTTTACAAAATACATTGCTACCGTTCCGTCCATGGACGCTTTTATGTACTAAGAACGGCTGTCATTTTTTGACGCAAGCAAGCTATTCCATAGTCTGCTACAGCCATTTTTAGGGTCGTCACGCAACGAGAGAGGAGCGTTGCGTGACGACGCTAAAAACGGCTGTGTAGCAGACTAGCTGTCCCACACCTAATGAGACAATGAGAGGTAATCGTGGCATAATTTTACAGATTCATAATTTACCTGTTTTGATTCATGGTCTAATGGGGAAAAGCTAGACTGTTCAAAGGTCCCCTATTTTTTTCGTAAGATCGTCAGGATCGAGCGCTTACCGGTACGAGCGGCCATCTTGGTTTCATATGTACGCAGTACCGAGGGGCAGGGAGGCCACTCCCAAACCGTCCCCCTCCCCCTTATAATATTTGATGCTCACTGCATCCAAGAAGGCCACCCGTAACGCAAAGCGCTCGATCTTACGGAAAGATAGGGGACTGTGAACAGTTTAGGGTAAAGCTTGCCGCCCACGCGTTAGTTTCTTTTTTTTTACAAGTTTCTTGCATCAGATTCGTCATCCCTAACTTATTCACACGGACATCAAGTTAAGCCAAAACCTTTGCAATTCTCAATTGCAACGATAAGCCTTTCCTTTAGCTTACTCCTGGTGCTGTATGCCGGCAACAGAAGGCGATTGAAACAGGTCAGAGCGGTCGGAAGTCGGTCCGAGTCCTCGCCGTGTCGTTGAACAATGAAGGTCAAGTTCGCGAGCCCCTTAAGAGGCACCCGATCACTTCCGGTGACAAACATAAGGAAAGCCTTCTTCTGCTCCAAAGTCATTTCATTAACAACGCTCCAGAGCACGTTGATCGTAGGGTGGTTGTGATCATAGCCCTCCTCATAGGTTGCTGCTATTTCAAGCTCGTAGAAGTCGATAACAGGGCAGCCGCAAATTAAGAGTTCAAGCTCGTCAGGACGAAACAAAGTGAGAGCTTCACCTCCACAAACCTGAAAAGTGACAGGTACACAATATAAAGTTCCAAATCAATCGGATGACATCCTTAAATCTCCACAAAAAACAAGGAATATTTGGTAGCTGACGAATTTGCAGGTTAAGTTAAGAGCACAGGAGAACGAAAGATACATTTTCATTACATCGCTACACCAGCGACACCGTAGCAAGCTTTGTCGAACAACGTCTAGAATACAGCTCTCATTAAAATATATTGGCACAAACTAAATGATCATTTGTTAGCTTGTTTTTTTTTATACATAAAATCATTAACAAGTTACTTCCTTTTGCTGGAAAGAGCGATTCACAAGCAGTGATATTTTGAGTCGCGTAGATCTAAGCGCGTTTCAAGGCAAGACATACC